TTCATGATCCTATCATCCGTCCCGATGTCCTTGGAGAAGGTTTTGAGGTAAAAATGCATGAGATTTCGTATGTTGGCATCCGGAAGATGGAATTCGAACACCTTCATCCAGACGAGGGGGGGAATTGTGCTACTCCATCCTACCTGACTCAGCGATTCGATTCAAATATCTTCAAGATTACAAATGAAACCAAGTATTCCAAGCAGGTATGGGAAACTTCCTAGTTGGGTTACTACTGAAACGAAATCCCTAATCTTCCATTGGTTGATTATCTCTATCCTTCCATTTCATCAGTTGTGTCGGGAGTTGTGCGCAATGGTTCATGTGATGCATGACATCGAAAATGGACATAGTTGTCTAGAAGATGGAAGGTACGCTTCTCTCCTGCGAAGCACTGGAAAACACACTGGAAAATGCAATTGGACAAGTGAGTAATATGACGTGGACTTTGTTTTACTCAAATGCAACGTACTTGTATTTTCTTAATGTGCGTTCTAATTGAAGTGCTATCAGAAAATGGCATGAAACCATAGGTGTTTCAATATCTGCTCCGTAAAAACTACTGTATTAAATAAGGAACATATTTAATGGTAACTCTTGGAACGGTTGCCTAGATGCATGGGAAGCCATTCGGAAAGTAGAGGGAGATAAGTTCTTGCCGGAGTTTTGCGCTTGTCCTTCTCAAGATTGCACGTAAGCCTTCATCTAAAAATATATTAACTGCCGTAATATAAAAATGAAATCATTGAACTTTTTTCTTAGAGAACAGAGATTCCAATGGTCGTTGTCGTCGGCAAAAATGGACCGTGAGCACTCCTTGGTCATGGATCTAATCGTTTGGATGAAGAATCAGATGAACACCAGCGGAAGCGAGCTGAAGAAAAACACATACTGTCACAATTCCCAGTCTGCTCAATTATTGCATTCATTTAGCGATTAAGTACATAAATGCACCTATCATCAAATCTCATGGAATGCTAGGCCCCGAATATGCAATCTTACCACTGACGGGACCAATAGAACTTCGCCACGCGTTCAAGGAATGAATCGATAACTATTTGTCCTCTTGCGTATTTTTCTTTCGCAGAGAGAATTTTGCAGTGGTGAACGTCTACTATGAGACAGTTGGTGTGGAAAGAGTCGTGGAGAGAGTTATGTATCCTGTGAGTCAAATTTATAATGAAGAAAAGATTTCCATGAGTTTTAAATAAATGCAAAATCAATTTCTAGTCTGTGTTTCTTTTCCGGGCAGTGGACAAGATTCATTGGTACGGTGGGAGGGTTACTGGGTCTCTACATCGGTTTGTCGTTCGTCTCCCTTCTGGAATTACTGGAGTGGATCGTGGACGTCATATTGTACGGTTGGAAAAAGGCTAAACATATCAAGCTACGATGGAAAGGACGGGTAATTCCCAGAGGTGACTTGATGAGTTCTGAGTATGACAACTCTGCTACCAGCAAATCCATTGAAATTATTTCCTATCATGCCTTGTAGGAAGAGACAATATGAAGATGGAAGAGTTTAAATGGAGGAATTCTTTAGATACTGAACTTTCTTGGGAAGGTCCTTCAGTCCATATTCCTACAACTTCGAACCTAAGTAGGAAATTCGATCCTGGTTTCTGAGTTGACTAATCTAAAGGAATATTATGCAAAATTTCAAAATTCAGCCAAAAGTCGCATTATATTCTCTTAGAATTGTGTCATGCAGTGCCAACTGACCGAGGCATGATGCTCCACCATCACATAAAAAATTGAAACAATTCTGAGTCAACAGGTCTTAATAATGACTCGAATATATGAAGTTTTCTTTTTCCTTTCATTTGAATATAAGTAATGAATTCTAGAAATATTTGCTATCATGCGTGTGCTATCCCTCGGGCGAATTTCATAATTCTAGAAGTATGCTGACTAGAAAAAAGTATCATGGCGCATTTGACCGATCTGAAATAGTAAAATTATTTTATTCCATGAAAATATGGGTTTCGTGAAGCATAAATAAAATCTCTTCTTCAAAGTACTCTAACATCTTCGAATGTCACCACACCATTCTCTTTCGTCGGTGTCAACACTAACAAACTAAAACGGCTGTGCTAATAGTCCACCTCTGGTACGTTTTATGGTATATCGATTATTTGGTTCGAGTCATCCTCACATGTCTACAATGCAAGCCGAACATGCCATTTTTTTGTCTTTTTTTTAAAGCGAACTTTGACCTCATTTCTTACGACGTGGGGGTGCAGATAAAAAATGTATAATGTCATATTGGAGAACATTCCACAATCTACCTGACGGCTTCAGTTGCGTTCTGTAGCATCCGAGTAACAAAATTGTATGAATTTTTAATATTATTTTGCTGAGGCCTTGCCTTTGTTGGAAGACCTCCCAGTGGTCATGAAAATATTTGTTCAAGTGTCGAACCCATGGTTGATGCTGATCTTAGAGCAGGATATGAATTAAATTTTCCCTTAAGTCACTGTCTTGGCAGCACTGAGAGAAGACTCCATTGACTATAGTTGTGGAAAATCTCAGAATTTCTATTGTAATCTGAATCCCACTGCCTCTGAAACACCTAATTCCTCACATCACCTACATGGAGGATTGATAAAGTAATGTAGCATTGTTATATCTTAGTAACTGTGTTTGAAACGACTGATAATCGCATTCAGGAATCAATATTATTTCTTTTTAGAATTATCAGCTGTCAGAAACGACAATATACCAGCACATTCCAAGATTTGCTGATGCAGATGAATGATAGACCAGAAGGAGGTGAATTGTAGATTGGGAGCTGTTCCCATGAAAGGTATGTGCCGCATTTTTGACAAGAAATCTGCAATTTTCTGTGAAATCCATTCCACGACACCTCATGCCATATGCTCTTCGGTGAAATTGAAAGTGGATCCGGTGGTGACAGGATATTGCGAATTGTTGATATGAAGCCCTGGGGAAAAATATCTAGAAAAGTCAAAGATTAGCATCAGCAACTTCGTCAATTAATGAGTGATGATTGTAGGATCAGATGAACACAGAGGGGAAAAATACTAACTTAAATGAAATAATTGTAACGCAAGTAAGGTCGGAATGAGTCCCAACATGAACTGAGTCCAGATCAAAACCAACCAAAATTAGAAAATTCATACCATTTCGTTCCGTGACTGTAACAGAACGAAACTCATGCAGTCAACTATATAAATTATTAGAATGCTCCTTCATATGGCATTAGAGACATAATTTAATATTGCACCCGCACATCATGAGAAAATGAGGTTAACGTTCTGTAAAGTAAAAATGGATTTTCCACTTTCATTTCCGACATGTGTGTGACGCCAGCCAAATAATAAATATACCATAGATGCGAGGCAGAGGTTGATTCTAAGCACTGCAATTTCTTTCATTTTTCTTCCGTTGACTCCCAGGAAATATAATGAGGTAGTGAAATTCTAAGAAATTAGTACAATTTTAAAAAGACGTAAATGAATTTTCACCAACCCCTCATTTCGTGCTGATAATTGGATTCTACTATGTCAAACTTTTCGTGGAAGCCACCACATCCATTTGTAACAGGCATACTGTACTTCGTGTGTCATGAAATTCGTCGTAGAGATCGCACGTGCTTGAAAATCTATATTTCTAAAATTCATATTTCAGTTCCGAATGAAAGGAAAAACAAAATTATCGGCGTTTCGTGTTTCATGAGAGACCTGTTGACTCAGAATCGTTTCAATTGTTTATGTGATGGTCGACCGTCATTTCTCGGTCAGCTGGCATGGATGGGCCCAATTATAACATGTGGACTATTTGAACTGTTTAGGGTTCATTGCCTTTCATGCCATTGACATGCATCCATTCACAAATTCGTCAAAGGTTTGGGTAGGACATGAGCCATTTCATAGCAATTTCTCATTACAAATTCTCTCTTGCTCTCGTGGTGAAGTAAAACATTTAGTTGCTGAGTATATGACCTCTTCTTGACCATACATCTCCTCAACGCCACTGCTACTCTTAAGAGAAATAAAAAGAAATACAATTTTGCATGGTGTCGTTTTGACCCTCTAGAATAGCTGGAGGAAGCTGGGGACAGGAGTGGAAGGGAAATGGAGAGGAGAGAAGTGGAGGAGGGCACTGGTCGAAATACGGTATTAAAACATGTAGATGTGAGTCCAAAAAAAACAGTTTTCAAAAAACAGTTAGTGTAGCTGTGTTCAGGGTGATTTTTTTCGTCTTCATTGAGAAACACTTTAATTTTTATGTATGGCCTTCTCGGGATTTGTGTAAATTCCACTGTTCTAGAGGGAAAGACCTTTGGCATCGATCATGTATTTCTATGTAGTCCTTCTTTCTATGCACAATATTTCTATCAACTCCTCCTTTCTCCATCATGGTGAACAATGAGTGACAATATCCACGTGTTTCGCGGGCAGCCAATTGTATTGCAATTATTGAAGGTCTATAAAATGAGTGCTAATGTCACTTTATTACTGTTGAGACTTTCTGGTGGACTTCTAACAATTTATGGTGATATCGTTCATCAATTGTTGTTTTCATCCGAGCTTAAAATATTCAATTCAAAAGAAACTCAATTTTGGTCTGATTTATGGAACGCCTTTCAGAAGCAGTTCTAACTTATTTCAACTCCTCCACCCCAATTCTTTAAAGGTAAAATAATCAGACATATTTCATGAATTGTAAATCTTATTGTAGTCGCTGAATTCTCATGAAATTCGGCATGCATACATGCCGACATAATTGGGGCTCGTATTCACAACTTCGGTCTCCTAGCTCCAAATATATTGGTGGTGTAATTGTGCTATGAAACCCCTTGGCAAAATGGGATGTTGAAAATATCGGTATGAACAAGAGACCGGGATGAAGAGAAGGATTTAAATCAGGATCTTCCATCCCTGCCTGATGCTTCAAAGTAAAATTGGGAATCATGAACACGCAGATTCATTGCCCGAACCATTGAATTGTTCAATCAGGGAAAGCGTAAACGTGTCATGGACGTGCATACCGACACGATGAGATAAGGAAAAATACAAAATTTTTTATCCATCCCCTGTGGGCATGGATCCAGCAAAACAGAGGGTGCAGGAAAGTTTAAACTTGGTAAAGAAATAGCTGAGGAAAGAAACAATTCTACTTTCATATTATATATAGACGATCGTGACTGACTGACTGATATAAGTAGCTATTCACATGCTGAGTTCAGGAAAAATTCCACTTGAGTGATACACGCCATAGTGGCACACCTTTTCGGGGAACATATTTTTTAAATAGTTCTCTTTGCTTTAAACAAACGGAGACCCATGGAAAGCTGTAACATGGCAAGAACGTGACTGGTGAAGCATTCAGCTCAAATGTCAAATTTCCAAAATATTTTTAGAGGGCATATTTCTTGGGGACGTAACGTTTTCAAAGAATTTTTAATATCCTAGCGAATCGGGCAGAAATGGAAAAATAGCAGCTGTCACACGCATAACGGACGTGATGTTGATTTAAGAATAAATTCAACTTTTGCTGAGCGTTTCCCCAGAGCACAGCTTTTGGATGGTTTGCTTTTCCAAATATATTTTTTATCGTCAGCAAAAAGTGGAAACATATAAGGCTGAAACTGGGTGGCATGGAGTTCCCTGAGTTTACATTTCAAAATAATAATAAAATTCGTTAACACCATTAGTGCCCTTTTTTCAGTCCCATATTCCTGATTTTTTTTTTGATCCAACGAAACAGAGACAGGAAATTTAAACTTCCCTCAGAAGTACCTGTTTGATGGCTGAGTAGAGGAGAAATCCTGATTTGGAAATATGTCCTTAGCGTAGATTATTGGAGGGAAGTTTTTCAAAATGTATTCTCCACCCTTACAAAAAGCTTAGCTTATCTTAGAATCGGGCAGAAATAGAGAAATAGCAGCTAGCGCAAGCATAACTAACGTGATGTTGACTTAAGGCAAAATTCAAATTTTGCTAAGCGTCTCCCCGGACCACAGCTTTTGGGTGTGTTGCTTTTCCNAAATCAAGACATTCGACCCCATATGTCACGTATGTCAATGGGGACGTACTTTAAATACGTGTTTCCCATTTTGCAAAAAATGAATGAATTAATCACTATCTAAGGTAAGGGAGCGCCGAAGGCGCGACCATAGCGAGTTTGTTTGCCCGAAGGGCAAACAAACTCGCTATGGTTTCATATAATTCCTCAGTCGTTATGTGTATTCCAGGGGAGCAACTGGACCTCATGAATTTCAAAGAATTCGTTAATCAGAATGCTTTCGTTGCCCTTTCCGCGGATTTTTGTGCGATTCGCTTCCCCCGCAATTTTCACGGTTTGCTCCAAAATGTGGGAAGGAAAAACAAAGGGAACCACTTCAGTTTCTAATTCTGCTGTGAATAATTTTACTTGGCAGTGATGGTGCGTTTGATTTGAAATGCCTATATATATTTCAAGGTTCTAGTTCAAACGTGACCATTATTGTCCACATTCATGGAAATGCGAGGAAAATTTGATTGCTCCAGCAGAACCAAAGAGACATATAGAGATATGTGCTACTCTGTGGCCATGTATTGAGTAAAATGGTTCAATGTTATGCTACAAAATGGCAGTGTTTTTGAAATCGTTTTCACTAATGACTTTCATTGTCATCTTTCCTTCGTGGAACCTTGCTCGGAACCGACCACTGATCAATCAGAAGTGGATTAGTAGTCTTTGTCTCAAAATGAGACAAATGGCTAAAAATGAGAAGAGATTCTTCAATTGCCATTTGGACGAATCCCCCGAAATCTTGGAGTAGCGGAGGTCCCCATTCAAGCTGAGCTTCTGACAATTGTCCGAAATCCAGCTAGATGCATGGGGGAGAGAAAAGCGTTATGCGTGAGCCGAGCACTTTGCCCAAAATCCAGACGGATTTCAGACAAATAGCCAAAATCCGCCGAGACGCCGGGAAAAGAAAACTTCGTACTTCCGGCGCGTTTTGAACGAACAGCCGAAACCGTATCAATACAGGAATTGTTATGTTCCCCAATTGGCCTTCTGCCTACTCCGGAAATTACTAAATGTGTCTCAAATCTTCTCCTCATAAATTTCATCCACAGAGATTTTCGACCTCCAATCAACTGGAATTAGTGCATTAATATCATTGTCAACATTTCTCAATTTTCCTCCTTCCCAAGAGGGAAATTCTCATGTTCTCATGACGATAATGACAAGTGACTTTTCATAACCATTTCATACATCTTTCATAGAATCGATGATTTTAAAAAAGCCAACACTCTGACGGGCGCCAATTACACATGGGAATATTGGTACAGTAATATACAGTTACATACATCATTTTCACATCTCAGAGCAATAGAAACGCGGGAGGACTGCTCCATGTCTTGAAGTAACAAGAGCGGAGGGGAGAGGAATCATAATTTCATACATTCTACTTAATTGCAGAAAAAAAAATTATTGTATCAGATACAATCCGTACCCAATCGATGAAACTAGCATAAAGAAAGAGAAGGAAAAGAGACCGAGAAGAAGGCAGCAGGTGCTTTTTCAAGAGAGGTGAACAAACAGGAAAAACCAAAAAATGTTCATGGTTGAGTAAAGGCAGTTAGGAACGATAACAGTTGAAGTCATGTTGATAAATTTTCCTATTCATCAGTCAATCCAGGAATTCTCTGCATCTCTTCCATGCTTCTAGTGCACTCCTTCACCCATATCACCCGTTGCCTTCCGATGGTATCCCATTGGATTCCGTGTGCGCCTCGGTTCCTGCAATTGGGACACATTTCTGATTATTACTGATTCAGACTAATATTCATCAGCCATCACTTTAATCTAGGAAAAGACACGCAGAAAATACTGATATATGAATTTTCCTGAGTAACTTGGTAATATCCATGGCTTAAAGGTTCTCCATGACTCATTCCATTCCCTCATTTCGATCCAAGTGTCTCAGGGGGTATGACCGCTGAAACAGAAGTGAGACTTTTGTCATTTCCATATAGCTAAATACATTTCAATAGTATTTCGAATGAAAATAGGTGAGATTTCACGATAGAAAAATAAGAGATATTGCATTGTATGGTTCAACAACGTTTGAATTTTCACAAAGGCAAATGTTCTGAAATTATTAGTTGACCATACTGAAAGGACTCATGTTATTGAACTGGAGAGATGCGCCTCCTAGGACGCAGCCATTGAAAAAAACGGCGGAGAAGGAATGGGATGGGGAAACTATAGAAAGTTTGAAAAAATGGGAATAAATCGATGTCACAGAAGTTCCTCATGATACTCCATACGTCTCTCAACCCCACTTGGTTTATATCCTAAAATCAATGCATATTTCAGCAAAAGCAATTGCTGATGAAGTGAAAAAGAGTGACACTAAATGAAGCATAAAATCGATTTCAACCAATACCGTCCTGTTTTTCATGTTTGGTCCAAGTGAAAGGTCATGCCGCTTCTTAATGAGCATGATCCTCATGATGAGCGGAGATGGATGAAATCATGACCAAATATGTCGGTGTCTTCGCTCTCCAGGAACTCTTCTGCTGTGATGTCCCCAATCGCATCCCTGAATCCGTTCATGGCATTATCGAATAAACTTATGAATATTCAGCTTAACTGCATCATTCACGAAAGAATATCATGTGAAGCTCACTCAGTTTCGAATTCAAAATGTTAATCCCCCTTGGAGTTGCTCTCTCCCTACTTGGGGGTATCTGGATGATCCCCTGGAGCATCGTCAGGGTGTTTCTTCCGTTCTCCCACCAGAACCAAATCCAACTCAACCAGACATAAAATTTACAGGGACTCTTGGAGGTCTGAAACTTCTGTTGGTTCAAAGAAATCAATATGGTAGATACTAATCACCACGTATTCATCATCATCAGCGTTACCATCACCTCATGATATGTGCCACTTTTTGCAGACTGCAATGGACCGCACTTATTTAAGTCCTTAACATTGGAGAGAATGCATTGGTTCGGCTTCCTGAGGCTCTCCAGAAGATCCTTCATATCGATGACTGGTGTTAACAAGGAAATCTCCGAGCTGCTGGCAATTACACAATGCATGTGAGCTTGCACGAGTAGGGGTCCTGCATCAAGAGAAGAACTTGCAGTAATGTAGTACTCATGTAGTACCATAAACATCGGATCACACTGTTTCAACGGACAAAGGAGAATTTCATTATTTTCGCACCAAAGTGATATACCCACCTTTACTTTCGGCCTTTCTTAGCACGGCTGACTGTGTTTTGAAATTATGCTGATGAATTGCCTGCTCAATCCTTGCCGCCTGGTAAAGCCTGTCACGTAGGATTTGGGAATTTTTTTCTCTCCACTGCAGCGGCCTTGGTGGTTGCAAAGCCACAGCAGACATCGATCGACATCGACGACCTGTAAGAAACAATACTCAGCCGTCAACATTTACACGAAATCGTAATTATTGATTGGGGCCATTCTTCTCACCTCATTGGAGAATACTGCCGCACAGAGAGGTTGATTGAAAGATCCTTCTGTCACTTCCCTCCGGTTTCCGGGAATGATCCTAAGCTCGATGTTTCCTGCTTGGATTTTTTGAGTTCCATGGCCCCCAAAGCCAATCTGCACGTAACTTCTCCACTCGCAGCTTTTTTCGGCATGCTTCAATTTCATGAATGGACTGAGAGCATCCTCAGTGAGACAATCGGAGAATTCACGCACAATAACTTCCTCATCCTCCTGGGCAATGCTACAAGAGGATTAAATTGATTGATGCATGGAATCAGCATGGGAAGGGACATTAAGAATGAAGTGTTCTTCCCACATTGAAGTAAGTTCCGTTACATCGAGGAAAGGTAGTGTTCGTATGCTATATATAATTCTATGCGAAGAGACTCCACTTTCCATTTTGACTGGAACAAGTATTACTGCATCAAGCAGATTGCCAACAACGAATAAAAGTTTGTACATCATATTATTAGTTTTCCAATTTTACTGAATTCAATGTTGCTACTGGGTGCGATATGTCTCCATAATAACTATTGAATGCTGGTAACTTAGAAAAGAAAATGGATTATTTTTCACGTTCGGTTCAAAGTTGAGTGCGAAAGTTAGTTTATAAATGGCAATTAGTATGATTTGCAACGTCATTCTGAAAAGATGATCGCGCACTCTACTACCCGAATGTGTATCCAACCTCATCAAGCATTATTAATTTGTAGGTCTTACCTAGTGAACGAGGACGTCAGTGTCTCCTTCCTTACAGCACTTTCAAGCTTCCCTCGAAATTCTGCAAAGCTGCAAACTCCATCCTTCGCAAGCTGCATGTTGTCCTGTGGTAGAAGTACAAACATTCACGCATTCTTTTCATGGTTAGGTTGGAGGGACGCTGAGGAACCTTGGAATACAACCAACCAGAAAATCACTGGTGGTGAGATGAGGGATTTTTCCAAAATCCCCTGCAGGTGATGCAGCATCTTCTCGACGCTTCCTCGATCCTCATTCTCCATGCTTCTAGCCACGTCCAAAAACCTCTTCACCACCTCGAATTCCATCCTCACCAGATGCTTACAAATTTGATGTTTCTTCTTGTCCTTTGGGAGCGTTTCATTTCATAGAATTAACTTATTTTGCACTTCTACGATACAGAATGACATCAACACCCGTGACAACCCAGCGGGATAGTACCCAATAAGTAAGTCATTGCCATTTGTGATTTCATTTTTTTTCGTTTTCAAGACTCACTCCCATTGTTAATTCAGTGATGATCGTTCCCTTGCGAGTAAAACTGCTGCAGAAAATCAACATGGTCGTGCTTAGTTTTTTTTTTCAACTGGGATTTGCCTATAAGCTTTGACGGAGATACATATATAAAAATACATCATTTTTACGTAACCCTTTACATCTCTTTTCAAAAATGGAGTTTCATTTTGTTATATTACCTGTGCGGAGATGATCCACGGACAACCTCCGATATCGCTTGGAATACTCCGATATCACTTTATTGCCACGATGGTATTCACGAAAGAAAATCCATCAATTATGGACCTAGCCCATCCCGCACACTTGTACAGAGGATTTCATTAATCAATCTCGAATCCACAGAAAGAAAAGGAAAAGGAAAGAGAAGCATCTATTCGATCAGATTTTCGTATACAGTAAAAGTGCACACGAACCCCGCAACTCCCCGCACAAAGGACCATAAATTAGGGTAGGGAAACCCATACTTCAACAACCTTCAATAACCAACAAAACAGAATTTTCGAGGGAAAAAATCAACGTAAGTCGACCACCATGGATGGCGTTAATGTAAAGATAGTCGATCTTGAAGGCGAAGAGTTTCCATCCAAGCAGTCCAGTGCAAAAAAAGTCACCTGAACTCCACACGAAGTTGCATACTCGTCGGCGAGAAAAAAAAAACCCCTTCACATCGCGCTTTTGAAAGACGGTGATTATGTGGTTCGTAAGGTAAACTTCCAGAAGTTTTTACATATTTTCCTTTTTCCATCATCAATATGGTATAACTTTCTTGTCTGAAGATGTCAGAACGTAATATGACTAAGCATAACAAGTTGTGTAAACGTAAAATACTTGTTACATTTTTAATGTGGATTGGTCTTCGCCTTCGCGCTCTAGGTGTCCTATAGTGCCGTCAAAGACCTGCATGGTGGTCGATTGGCATTGTTCCTTTTCCCTCACAAACGCTGGTTTGACGAATATTCGGGGGAAGTTGATTAATGGATTTTCCCTTTGCGTGAAGGTGGGTGGCATATGCACACTCCTACCGGCATGTACATACAAAATATCGACCGGGTGCTTTCTTTCCTTGTCCTGTTCTTTTATATGCTCCTTCCCATCTCCTTCTTCATCGACGTCTTTGAAAACTGTTGAGATTAAGGCAGCGTGTGTTAAATCAGATGCGCCTTTACGGGTCATCTAAAATAATTCACTTGAAAATTGCAATTGGATGCTCTATCCATTGTGTTCTTGCATAGGAGGAAACTGGGATAATTGTAGGCCAGTATATGTCACGCCCATCGCTGAAAGTAGCTCGGAAGGCATTCTGTGAGACCACGTTTTAGGATTTCTTGAGGTGTGTTTCGTCATACGAAATGCTCACGACGACTCTGGAATACAGTTAAGTTGTGTACCAACGTTGTTCGAAATCTTCGATTTGGTGGGACGATGAGACTCCTACTGGGTGTGGACTTACTGGGTAGGGACTGGTTTGGAATGTTATATATGGAAAATAATATGGGGTCGGAAAGACATGGTTTTCCTCAAATGTCACTTGGGTGTGAAATTCTATATCATGTCACCCAGCGTGTGCGCAAATGAATGTAAGGCCTGAAAAACTCAATCCACAATTGCCTCGTTCAGACGACCTCCATTGGTCCACAAATCGTCTTCATAACTCCTTGAACCACTCCTTGCCGATCCTGTTCAGCAAAACCAATCCGCAAGTGTGAATCGCGGTGGCAGAAATGCGTCCACCTCAAAGGTGGACGATAATAATAAGAGTGAGCAAGTTGTACTTCTGAGTGTGAGTGTGCATTGCGTATTTGTTATCCATTGAAGGAAACTGGATTAGATTTTTGGGGCAAACACGTTATAGTTTTTCCCAATTGCTAACGTCCGTTTCCCGAAACTATACTTCCGTTTTAAAAACTAAAAACAAATCGCAAAACTCTGCAAACTTTTCACAAACTTAACATCCGATTTCCTTCCTAACGTACGAAAAGCGAAACGCGAAATGCGATTTTAATATATTTACGTACCTTTTTCGAAACCTAACGTACGGAAAAGGATAAGAAGACCGACTCGACGAGTGCGGAGGATGGATGCATGGCTGACGACGGCAATCTCGATCCTCCAAAATTCCTTCTGAGCAATCACAGAGCTTTTCTCATTGTCCGTAGTTGTCAGAGCTGAATGCTCCTTCTCAAACATTGAAATAGTTTCTTATGTCGATACAGCAATGTAGTTGGCAGGCAATAATGCTGACTGCTATTCAGAAAAATCCAGAATAACTGATCCTGAGTATTTACTCACGTTTAATTTCCGTTACAATCTAATCAGTTAAAAAGGGTTGTAAAGAGAGAAAAGGTCATTTTATGGTCATTTTATGGTCATTTTTGTTTGTCGTAAGTTACAAAATTGTTATGAACTTGGGACCCATATTGTTCGTAGATATGAGTGTTCACTGGGAAAATCTCATTTTATGATCTCCAAATCTTTCCAACTAATGTTCACTATATTGGCTCGTTTCGACCGGATACAACGCCCTGCACCCTTTTGAATGACGGCACAAGTCAAGTGGCTTCTCAAAATAACAGTCTGACATTATTAGGGCGCGAGAAGATAGCAATGGACTCGACCGGCAGAAACTGTGATCTGTTGTGGTGCAGAAATGCGCAATTCAACGAAGGCGAGAGGGGAAGAATTGGAGATGGGAGGAGTTTGTGTGTTTTCAAGCAGCATCTCGTCCATATATCTCACGCGAAATAATCCCATTGAGCGGTTTGATGATATTTACAGGAATTAATCTATGCTGATTTGATCCTGCTTGATCACTGTTGAAACACTCACCGTATACACATCCACCCAACAACCGAGCCTAGATTGTATAAATTGTCAGAGTAGAAGTTGAGGATAAGAGGATAAGTCATCATTGTACGATCTGCAAAACTGTAAAAAAAATTTTTATGAACAACAAACATCACAGAGAAACGACGTCAGTGTATCGGCACGAGCACATTTATTACAGGCCGGTAAGTCTCACGAGTATCCCAGGGAAGATCATGGAGAGCATCTCTTGGATTTCCTTCGCGCTCATTCGGGACTCT